GGATACAGGCGATTGAGAAGAGTTTCGAAAACATGTAGAGACTTTATAGTTAATAGAGGTATTTATATTAATCTTTTTCAAGGAAGATTTATTGAATGTTCGATCTGCACACATCGTCGCTCGACTCATCACAGTGACAAATTATTTTAAACTGTGCAATAAAATAAAGTTGTGTGGTGTGTTTTAATTATCTAATTTACTCTAAACACTTGATAAGGCCCGAAATCGTTGGTCGAAACGTTGTGTCAACAATAAACACCTGATTCGTAACCAGTCTGATCGTTTACTTACGCTTTCCTTGATTTTAAATTATTGGCGAATTATATATCTTTCATCTGATTAATCTTATTATTAGTGGAAATTTTTAATTAAAAAATTTATTATTTATTCTAATTTTTATTTCAAGTATTAATAATAATGCAAGAGAGATAAAGGCAGCTGGAAAATTTGTAAATATGCATGTGTGATTCTTTAAAGTCCAATACTGTTTAGCAACTTATATGTACATGATGTCTCTTAACTATTAAAGGCTTGATGAAAGAGTGATTCTCAGGATGCACGGAAGACATTCGCACACGAGCACCTTTCTCGCGCGTAAAATTTAATTTTAGTGAAGATCGATTTATGGAGGGAAATATAATTTCGCTGATAGTGCACAACGTGAGAAAGAGAGAGTTGCGCTAATAGTGCACCTTCTACATCTGCTTTATCGTATTTTGCAATTGCCACACTAATAGACCGTATTATAATCACCGGGACGAACGCGTAATTTGAGATTGCGAGTTATCGTCGATCTTGTGAGGGATATTATTTATTATCATACTTATCTCACGATACTACGCCGATGCTGCATCCTCTATACGTTTTTATGTGGCGTTATATAGTTATTTTTATGGTTACACGTGTCATTTATTTTTCGCATTAATTATAAAAACTAAAAAGAGACTTGTGTGCTTATATTAGTTATTCAATAAAAGAGTATTTTTATGTATATAATCTTTATATAATACATTTCTAATTTTATACAATATGTAATTTTATCGAAACTGTTTTATTATTAAACTTTGCAGATTTCAATGCAAGAAACTTTGAAAAAATTAATTTTATTTTAATCAATATTCATTCAAAAATTCTTAATGATATTTAATTAAAGAAAAAATAAAAAAAGCAAAGCACAGAGTAATATACTATATAATAAATTAAAATTAATCGTCGCATAAGAGTTGTCACAGAATTTATTCTCATTTCTAAAGTTTTTTCATTCAAAGCGTTGTTTGAAAGCAACATCATTCATTGGCGGACGTTAACCTGACGGGAAAAAAAAAAAGTACTCCCTACGAAAAGCTCGCTCCATCGTTATAAACGGCACATGCCTCGTAAGCTTCGACCCGCAAGGCTCGCTTCGAAAGTGCTCATTTGGGGAACTTTTGCAAGCGCGAAAGCCTACGGAAACTTCGAACTTTCGCGGCGTGATGCGAGGCGAGGTGCGCCTTTCTATCTAACCCTTAAGCGACAGCGGGGAGGCAGAAGAGGTTCTGATTGACGACGGCGGACTTTTAATTACTCCGCCACAAGTTTTAGGGCACGTGGAAGCGAAAGATAAGCTTCCTCGCTCGAAATGAAACGAACGAACGGCGAACGGCGCGTAAGTTATGCCGCAAATTATGCAATTAAAAGTCCCGCGGACAGATGTGGGTCCCGCTTTTCGCGCGCGCTCTGTCTTCCGTACTAACGACTTCCGTTGCATGGCTACAGTTGTGGCGGATGCGTGCCGCCGACGAAAACTCTTTCCGACAAATTTGCAACGAATAAATTAGATGTATCAAAACGATAAAGTGCATTTGTAATAAAAAAAAAAAAAAAAAAAAAAAGTAATTGAGTAAACTTCAAAATTTGTCATTCTTCTTTCAATATGAGATCTGTCAGAAAGTAATGAGATTATTTCTTTTAGCTTCTTTTTATTACATATAATAATTTTCTGCATTCCTATTTCAATTCAAAGTTTATTATTAATTAATTTGTAATACTGTTATTTTCTATATGAATTAGTATTGACGCGAGAGGCTTCGTCGTAACATGCATTTACTGCAATTCTAAAGCAAATGTTTAAGATCAGTGCATGCGCTTGCTAATTTAGATTAATCATAGTTTCACGGATTTGATGCACCGCGCGACTGACATGAAAATTAATCCGTCGGAAACGGGGCAAGATTATTACACGATGGAGGGTGAAAGTCTTATGGAAAATCGCATTTCGTGCAAAATGATTATAGAAGTGTTAAAACGAGGAGCTTAACATTCAACCATTTCCGCATGCAACAGCATGTTATGGCAATTTCTCGAATCGCCTGTAAAATATGAATCTCGATACGGTATACGGCTCACGCCATAATCTCACATAATTTATACTAAGGCGCGAGAGAATTATGAGGAGTATACTGCGCGAGAGCGGCGGGAATTAAATTGTATACCATTCGCATATAAGATTGCTGCTGCAAACCCCTATTGATTCGTGCAGCAATACCCGAGGAACAATGGCGTTTATACGGTTCACCACATCCGAAAGTAAAAGTTACTTCTTGTCTCTTCTCAATGTTTATCCGATTATGACATTGTTATGCATCGGAAGAGGTAGCTACCGAAATTTTATCGATAGGCTTAATATATTTAATCGGTCAAACTAGTTAAATGTTTACTCTGAGGATTTAATTTAAGGGGATTAAAGATTAAATTATATAAATCAGAATATAAAAATATAAAATAATGAATATATAGAGAATATGTGTATTTGTTTTTAATTTATTCTAGCAAATCTAAATAAATCTACCTACTTCTTGACAACTTCTTAACAACTTTGATAACTACAAAAGAAAATATACTACGAATGTGAGTTAGTAAAGACAATATCTATACGGAAATTATCACTTCTCGAAGCATCTGATAATTTCCTAACGAGATTTTTTATTGCCTTAAAATATTGTAGTACAAGGATTTCTAAAATTAATTTTATGATGACTATATATTTGAAATTAAAAGTTTCAAAGACAAATGTCTACGCGCAACATGTTTTCCGAAGGCTGAAAAAAAATGATGAATACGTGCCGCTCATTGTAATAAATTAATGTGTGCAACAGATAATGAAAACGGAATAAAAATACATTCTACAATAATCGAAATCGATATATTAATAGTGAAAATAATTTAATAGCATTTAAATATAGAAATTGTATACACATGGATTAAAAATTTATTGAAAATTGTTTCATCTTGCCATTTTCTGTGTGTACGAAAAATTTTGAAAAAAAATATATATAAATTATTATACGGATAACTGAACGTTTTCCTCAGCGAATGCGGGCAGTTCGACGACACTTGCAATAAAACGAATAAAAAGGTTCGTCGGAATGAGGCGAATAAAAGGTCTCATCGATCGATACGTAAATAGGTTAATCGTCAACATTCGTCCTCCGAGCATGCAGTCTCTAGCCGACAGTGTGCATGTTGACGATTGCACAAACGGTCTATTCAGGTTGCCGGTTCAACGGAAATCGCACGGTCGATAGACCCTAAACGTCGACCCCGACCTATTACGGAACTACAGTGGCACGAACGCACACGCGTATATATTTTCGCGTCTCCCTGCACCATGCGACAAATTCGCTTGGCTTTTATAGGAGCTGCAGTCTAACAGACACAGTTGGTATGCCATATGATGAAAATGAGAATCTTCCCCGCAAAGATAAATCGAAAGTCAATGAGGTGAACTTAAATGCCCGATCGTTAAATTCTAAAAGTATTTTTGTCCCAATTGTCGTGTCACAATGGGGAACTATTCGAAATTCAACATATGTTTGGTGTACAAAGTCAATTAAAATAATAGCAATTAGCTATCACTATCCATAGGGGTTTTTAAAAATTGTTATAGCCGATAATATATTTCCCATCGTCAGAATGGGCATTAATAAAAATCTTATTTTTTCAATAAGCACATCCTGTTATTAAAAATGATTGCTTATTTAAATTGAGCTGGTATATCTTACCTGGATTTTGATTGAGAAAATTTCTAGCTGCTCTTGCCATCTAACGAAGTTCACTTGAAGCTTAATACGCTCTACTCATTCTATAATATTTGTAGTGCGCGTTATATTCGCGGGTTTTCACGCAACTTGCAACTCTGATCAATAAGAATTGTTTCTTTAACAAATCGCAAAAAGAAACAAATTCAAAAGGTGTATATTTCAGTTAATAAATTTTGTAAAAATAGATTTTTTCGCATTCCTGAATAATTCTGTGTAAAACTTCTAAATATTTATATATAATTAAAAATTAGAAATATTAAAAAATTTTCATATAATAACAGAATAAACCTCAAAATATGACTACCTTTAAAAACATTATCCAAATGCACTCCCTCTCTCTATATATATACATACATCATTTCTCTCTAATATTTTTCATGTATATATTTTGAAACAATGTATAATAATGATTATATTATAATAAAACGTATGATATATGAAACTTCGCATTTGTAATATTTGTTTAAGATTTAAAAATAAATCTTGATCTCGAAAAATTGAAAAATTATTTATCTTTGAAAATGTTATAATTTGAAGAATTTTTTTTCGATGACGGTCCCTGCTTTGTATCTCGACAAACTTTAACAGTTGTGATTAAAGTTTTTGCTTTATTCTAATTGTAACAAAATTTGCTTACACAGAATTATTGAGAAATACGACAAAAATCTCTTTTCACAAAATTTATTAATTGAAGCCTTAATATACAATTTATTACGTTATTACTGTTAAATTGTGACAGCATTATCTTTGTAGAATGTAGCAAGATAATCAAAAGTTAAATCTGTTGATGTAAAAACTCTTCTATAGATATAATCGGAATGAGTATTCTAAGATTATATCTGCAGAGATTGTGTAGATTCTATCAGATGCGCTCTTCCATTCTCTTAAAAAAAAAATTTCACACAAGAGAAATCAACTCACCGTTTCGGAGACGACATTCTTGACTTCCGTTAGTAAGGCTGCAGCAGGTGACAGATAAGCCCGGACGAAGTTTTCCAAGTTACCATGATAAGCACAAACCAGGATGTCCCGCGCTTGTCTTATCAGTAGATCCATAACACTGTCACCATAAATCGGTCCGAGCAAGTTCCGGACCAGAGAAGCGAAGTCCCCACGGTCCTATAAAAAAGCAATAATAAAACGTAATAAAAAATTACTTTTATTGCTTCATTTGACATAATTAGAATACTTTAGAATGTTTATTAATAAAAACAAGTTATGTGACGCTTTGGAAAAAATTGTATAATTGCCGAATAAAGTATGTAAGAATAACGTTTAAAAAAGTAAAAAAAATAAAGAACCAAAAGAAATTAAAATAAAAAATAACAAAATAAAGAACAAAAAAATTAAATAAAATTGTAAAATTAATGTCAGTACAGGCCAACTAAAGAGCATAAAATTATTCGGATGTTAATGAATATTAACAATTTTTATTTTAAAACCATCAAAACATAATAATACATTAAATCACAAATGTTCCGACTGTACGTAGTCTTCTGAAGTCATATAATATTAGTCAATTATATGTGGCGATTACATCGTCACATGCTCCCTAAAATTATCGAGCGAAAACACGTATACGAATACGGTCACACAGACAAGCGAAAAGTACCGAGACATAAATAAATATAAATAAAAACATAACAGACGAGACAGGCAGAAACGAAAGACGAGAAGCACAGAGACAAATAGAAAAACGATTAAGTAAACGAATAGAAAATTCTCGAAGCCTCTCGAAGCCTATCGAAGGTCGATTTTGAGGCGAAAGACAGTAAGAGCGAAATTACATAGTATAAATTACTAGTATTACATAAGTTATATTTTATTAACTTTTTTTTTAGTTTCCACTTTGCCAAATAAAAGATAATTAATAATTACAGACTATAGAAGTATCAATCCATCACAATTATTTTTTGCTTCATTTACAACGTAATGTAATTTGTAATTGCAAATTAAACAATCCTGTTATTTGATATCAACATCGAGTTATATCGGCAAAATGCAACATTGCGCTACATTTAAATCATATATAATTAAATCGATTTTAACACTTGTCCAAACACCGGAAGCAATAGAGACAACGAACCGAACAGTTTCGCGAACCCATTCATATTGTTACGGAATCACGGTCACCGCGCGTAAAATCTGTTACTGGCAGTTATCTCCCTCGACACCAGGATAAACAAGGGGAACGTGATTTGAGTTCTGTGACAAAAGCTGACAGAAATTCTGACCAAGGGTGCCGCAACACCCGAGGGAGAGGAACATCAATATTCCTCCCGAACGTTTCGCTTAAACCAGGCCTGTGGCATAAATATGAAAAAATTAAAAAACCATAAAAAAACTGACCTTTAAAAAAAATAAAAAAGAGTGCCAAGTAAAAAGTAAAGTGTTAAAAAAAACATTTTATTAATTTTTAATAAAATTTTAATTAACTTGTGATTTTTACAGAATGTCAAAGCTATTTTTTAGAAATAGCAATATTTCCAGAAACAACAATAAAGCTATCTGTGAAATAAAATCGTGTAACAAAAAGTTCGAATATGTAGATGTGTCCCATGTGATTCGTCACATGAAGTTGCACGCAGAAAATGAAAATAAAATTAAAAAGTAACGTTGAAACGTAACGTCGGAATAAAGAATCATTGGCCAGACTGTCCATATTCATTTTCATCTTGATAAATAAAGAGTATTTATTAAAAGATAAGTTGGTCTAGTTTACACCGATTGTTTGATACATGTATCAAATAATCGCCGCACTGAGAAATCACAGTCATTCTTCTAAAGAATAGAATGAAAAAAAAAAATGCCAAATTTCAATCGTTATAATTTTCCTTTAATTTCTCAAGCCTTTTTTCGATATATAGAAAATCGATAGAATATCACGACTTATATATTCATAAACATATGAATATACTTAAACATGTTTCAATAGAATTTCCAAATTTGGGCAGTTCTCCGACGCAATCTCTTTTACAAAACGTATTGCGTTATTGACACTGTCCTCCCCAGCATCACTTTCTCACCAAGATTCGAATAGTGATACGAAATCACAGGGAATAGTAGATTAATTTGAAGAGATGAAACAAGTGTCGTTATTGACACTGTCCTCCCCAGCATCACTTTCTCACCAAGATTCGAATAGTGATACGAAATCAGTGAATAGTAGATTAATTTGAAGAGATGAAACAAGTGTCGTCTTGCGTTCGATGTGGGTGCATTATATCGAGGTGCATCACCGCATAAACATTGAAGTTTAGCGAGGGCACACAAGAAACTGGGAGAGGAGAGAGAGAGAGGAAACGACGCGCCATGTAACCATTATATGTGCGCCCGATCGCCCACGTATTTCCGCCCTCATGGTGCGTGCGACGAGCGACCATACGCGAAGTGTTGAGAGCGTGCGAAACTTGTATTTTCGGAGACACGCATACAACACTACCGAGGGTTTCACGTGGGATCTAGGCAATCGAGAGCGAAACCGGATGTGGCGAGTATGTACGGGATCTACAAAAAGTGTGTGTTACTACATTGTTGTTGCATGCATGTACATACAAATTCCCTCAAGTCTTCATTTAAATTCACAAGTAAAATTTACAATAATTTGGCATAAATCATGTACCACATTACACTTCGGTGAATACTGTCAATAATTTTTTTTCGTGTGATATCTCACGGGGTGTATCGATCATAAGGCCGACATGAGTCGGGTCGTCAGTATCAATATTTGACCACCCAAAATTTATGGGAAAAGGGTAACTCAGTATTGCATAGAGTTCGTTAGGGGAGACACACGTCTCCCGCAGGGAATTCGTCGGAATAGAAGTGCATACGCAGGCTGAGTCTACATTATAAATTAACTGATTCACGTGCTGGCGGTTTTAATCGTCTATACCTTATGGGCACGCGTTATTTATTAATGTATTTACTCGTGTGAATGGGAAGACCGCGATTTACTATTGTGTATTCACATGTTCAAATGCTAATAAAAAATATTCTAGACTAACATTTTTTTCTCGAAGAAAAATATATCAATTTTGTCATAATAAGAAAAAGTTCCGTAAAATTTTATATATTTGTTTTAAAAAAACTTATAACAAATTAATCTACTATTTACTGTAATTTCGTATCACTAATTTTATTTATATATTTTAAAATAGATTTAATGTAAAGATAAAATTATTGATTTATGCAGATAAAATTGTCTACACAGTAAATCTTTCGAAATCACACGTGATATATTTTAGAATAACATTGAGAATTTATATTCTAAACTAATTTGATTGTTCTAGCTAATTTGAATTCAATTAAATTGTAAATGACAATTGAAATAATTGTCGTTTTTGCAGGTGATGCGACTCTTATACGCAGGGCGCACCTGCACCCTCGATTCGTTATCTTTACTACGATACCTAAAACGCCTACGTGCATCCCGTGAATATTTATTCCCAGTATTTCGCCTGTCTGTCTCCTCTTACCGTCCTTTCGTCACGATTTTTTTCTTACTCGTCGCTTACATTTTATCGTCATTCCGCGCCGAACGAAAATGTGCCATGACGCGAGACGTGCTTGCTCTTTTGCTTCGAAGTAACTGTTACGTATACGCGAACAGCTAGGCTTATAAAATCTATTTTCTCGCCAAACATCCTTAACGTGTCGGTGTATATCCCAATCCCCGATCCTTTGAATTCTACTTATCAATATTCCCCGGTTACGAGCGGGGCAATCTCGCCGAGCTATTCCACAACGTTTCGTACCACACGTCTTCTTTGCTGTTGGCACGCCCACGTTATAAGAGACAAACGTCGTCCAGCCTCGTAAAACGAGAAGAGCATACCCAGTCTAAATTGGATATCTCTGCACGATGCTATGCTTGAAATACGTCAGTCTTTCGTGCAATATCTCTTTTGCAAAAACAATTTCTGCAAATTATTTTCTTTGTCCTTTTGCCGAATTCTTCACGCAAAAGAAATTAAATTTTCTACATCTTAGAATGAGATAACATTCTTGCCCGACAGATTGATATACGACATCAGAGATGCAGATACTTGACCGCATTATTGATGCCATGAGAAATACGCAACCACAAACGGGATATTGGACAAGGGGAAGAGGACCGTCCCTTTTGATATTATTGACAAAAAAAGAATTTTTTGGATATTGATTGACAGAAATTGATCCAAAGTATCTTTATCTGCTAGGAATTATAAATATTTCCGACGAGCTAGAAGATATGCACAAAAAATTGTTACGCAATTGCTAATCTCCTTTTTCGTTCTTTAGAAGTTTCAGCGGAGTATATGCAATACACGCGACACTCATGATCTCAGATGTGCAAATATTCGCGGAGAACGGGACTGCGTGGTTAACGTAGGAATGTTGCCAAAGAATTGTGGTAGGTGGAACGTCCTATGGGACGAGACGATAGCACGAAGACACTATAACGGTTCTTCGTACGAACCGATTGACAATGATTGAAGGCTGCGGGCCTCGTTCCGAACCGGGGTCTCAACCTTCGTGTAAACCACCGATATATATCTCCGCCACGCTATCCGCCGATCTCCTTCTGCCTTAATCTCGCGGCCGCTCCGAGCTTAGACGCCGACGACAGAAACGGGAAACGCCGGCCCACGCGTTCGCTATCGCATGATTTCACGATCCTTCCGAGAGCGCGATGATACTACCTCCCATGGTGCTTCCGTTTCTCCGGATTGATGTTTTTCCGAATGTATTTCAGCGTCTCTATACTACACCACGATACCATCTCCCGTAGATATTCGCCATCGCTTCATTACTTGACACTTTAAGCTTTTATCGAATAAACGTGGCGAACTTTGTATACTTATATATATGAGAAATAGCGTTTATTTAAAAAAAAAAATGGTTCAATATGAAAAATAGAATAATTCGCTATATACGAAGAAAAAGTAATAGTCGATCGATAATGTTACTTCTCTTTTCACTCAACTATCAAGACATGTATCATTCGTTCAGGTTGATGGTCCCGTTTAAACATCGCGTAATTACTCTACAATTTACGTAATAATTACGAAAGTAATGGAAGAATGTCTACTTATTGGGGCACTCCTTCGCATAAACCAGGAAGGCGACGGATTACG